TACTAACGGTTAGGTAGGTTTCTATGCGGTGGCTGATCTTCAGGGTCTTGAGGTTGATAAAGGCACTACTTACTAGGCCTGTTAGTACGCGACTGCGGGGACTAATGGATATGTAAAATAGGTTGGGCGCTATTTAACGTCCCAATCGTCGAGCGATAGCCTGAACAGAAAGCTTGGCTATTGGTAGTCACATCAATAATGGTCATATGGGCAGGTTCAACCATTTAATGAACTGGTATGTACGGATATACAGCATGTAAACTTTATACTCCATCTCGGAGCTTTATCTGGCCAACACCACATGACATCAGAGAATAATCTTGTCACATGTAGTGGAGATCAGATCAAAACAAATGGGCGGTCTGTATTCACAGCCTGATATACACAAGACACGGGCAAATGAGAGAGAGGTATTGTCAGCGCTGGACCAACCTGAAGCGACCTCACTTACTCTATTGGTCCAAATCGCTCTGGTTATGGATAAAATAGAGTGATGCGATTGTGGCAAGGTGAACCCCCCCCCGGAGGTTCACCAAAAAAGATCATCCCTATCAGAACAAGCTGGAACACTGATCGTCTCACTAGCGATAGCCGCAGGTCTACCTTTCAGGACGCAACCACACTGGGGGATGTATCACCAAACCCTTAGCTTCGGCGCTAGAAACATAACAGAAGGATTCTTCGTGGCCGCTTTCACCGCTTTACCCGCTCAAACACTTACCGCTTCTGGTCTGATATGCAGCATACTCCAAATCTCGGACTAAGCTAAATACGTACCCCGTTCGGTACTCCGGAGTAGGTATGTGTTTGTGGCGTATTTCGGAGATGGAGGAATATAATGAATACTCTATATGAGGCTTATTATGGCGAGACCGGGCAAACGGGTATGCTGCTATGTATAGATGTTGATTTCCAAACGTCACTCAGACAATGAATCGGCCGAGTGGCCGCTAACCTTATTCGATTCAAGCCGCGGGACATGTGGTATTGGAATCAGGCGATCATTTCTGGTTATCAAATATATACTACTTTGTTCCTGTTAGCGGTCCTCTTGTGGCAATCCATACGCACAACACATTCAATCTAGATTTACTACAGAGTATAAGGGCAGGGGGCTGTTTTGTTCCCCAGCCTCCACTTACGATAATGACTCAATCTCACCCTCTTCTCCGGAATACCGACCAGAAGGTAGCAGCAGTAAGCTACTGTGTACGGAGTACTTAAGTTCATCCTCCATGGGGTATTGTCATACGGGATATATACCGAATTCGATGCAATACTGTAATTTCGAAATCCGATACCGCCTCAGGTGATGTATACCTCCCTGTCACTTGCATGATCTAACCCACTGTCCTACATTTTGCTGCAATCATATACAAATCAATATCAACCCAACGTTGAGTCCCCTGTGGGTCAATACACACCCAAGTTCACCGATCTTGAAATGCCACATGTGCCATTCCACCGACTGCAAAAGGTGCGAAGAACGGAAGAATATCTGATAGGTGGATCTTAGCGACTGTTTCCATAGCTGAGGATCTCCAACAGGACGGCGTTTCGCACCATCAAATAGGGGCACTAGTACCAGCTGACCGGGACTATAGAGACAAAGTCAACCTTATACATCAATTTATTTCGGTAGTTCAAGAAAGTACTATTCATTTGGCATCAGTCGACAAGAGACGTGTCCATAGGCATGTCTTGTGATCTATTGCCAAGCTGCAATTGAGTTGGTACCGATGCATCCATTGGCTTTGACACCCCTGATCGACTAGTAGTCTAACTTACTAGTAGAAAGGCGAGAGAAAATACCAAATTCGAGTCACTTCAAACGCGAAATCCACAGACTTTCAAATACCATTTTCGTATGTTCGTGCAGCCACTCAGGTTCGCTCGCCTACCGCCATTTTTCCGTACCTACATTAGCAGACAGGAAATAAAGCCACAGGAAACAGCGAAAGTGGATTGGGTGGAGAGGCACGCCGGGGCCAGGCTGGATCTAAATCCCGAGGCGAGGATACATATTCTTGGCGGCCGCCCATCTGCTCGTTGAGTTCTTCTAGAAAAGCGAGAAAATGGGTAAAGACACAGAAGGTTCAATTTCGGTGGGCCCCTTCACCCATTCCCCTGTAATTACCAATCATGCGTATAGTACACAGGCCGACGGAGGTATGAGTTCAGTATTTCGGTAATGTAAGGAACCAATCTACCCGCGCATGCCGCCGCTGTACCGGAAACAGCCCAGCAGTTTTAAGTTGGGGTTCGACATCACCACTTCCAATAAAAGCAATAGTAGTGCTCAAACCAACCCCAGTGCGGTGCGCACCAGCCATCGTCTTCATGTAGACCGCCTTACGTGCGCCACTAGCTCGTGCGCCACCCCAAACTGCAAACAATGCAAACCCTCGTTCATACTCCGCGGTGGGATGTGAGAGCCGAAATTTTTGTTGGCATTGATCGAAGAAGAAGGCTTGTTTGCGCCAAGCATTGAACCTAGCTGCACTTGAGTTGGAATTTAAGATTGGAATTTCTACTCATCGGCTATTTTTTCGTCGCTTTGGGCAAGAGAGGTGACCATTCTATCGTTACAGCTGTTTTGATAATGGCGCCCGAAACCGCTCAATCGCAAACGCCGGAGGCCGCCATGCGCGGTCAAACCGACGCACCAGTGACACATACATTAGCGACTGACAATATTGAGGAACCTCCCTCAAAGAAAGCAAAGTTGGATGATACATCAACGCCTGACAACGACGCTAACAATGGTGCCACTCAGCGCGCGAGGGGTATCGCTCCTGTTAAGGCAGAGTATGTGGGCGCAGGAGCAACTATCTGCGGTGGACTTTATTGGCTAACCATATACTAGATTCATTATCCCAAGGGCTACGAACACCGAACCGCAACCTAATACTGATGACGCTGCCGAGGCCGCACGTCACGAAGAGGGCCAAGGGCAAGAGACGGGGAAGAAGAAAAAGAAGAAGAAGCCTACTGGACAAAACACAAACCGCACTTTTGGATCGTCTAAAGACGAAAAGGGCCTGTGTCCGAGCAGGGTCTTTACACCTGAGTTCTCTCCCGGAGTTTGCCAATGGGGCGAAAAGTGTCGTTATGAGCACGATCTACGAACCTATCTGAAGGAATACAAACGTGGTGATCTGGCAACCTTTGATGGCATGTGTCCAGTTTGGGATGTAAAAGGCAAATGCCTCTCCGGCTGGAAATGTCGTCTCGTGGGCTCTCACATGATTGAACGCGAGACCGCCGATGGCAGAAAAGAATTGGTGCTGGTTGAGGATGAGGAGCGCAAGAAGAAAGCACAGCCACTTGTCCCTTTTGCCGCCGAGGATGGCACTGCAAATATTGCCTCAGCGGAAGCTAAGTTTGCGCTGCACCGCAAGAAGGTCCAGACGCCTCGAGCTGATTCATACGGACGTTGGTTGGACAAAACCTCCAGAGAACTGGAGAAGGTAATTCACAACCGGAACGTTTCTGAAGAGAAGGGCGCAGAGTCCAAGACCGAGGAGGCCAAAAGAGAGAAAGAAGAGAACCGGGCGCAATATCTAGAGCCACCATTCTTACCGTCGGAAAAGCGCCGTATTTACTTCGGCCCGGAAACTCCTGTTTTAGCGCCTCTAACCACACAAGGAAACCTTCCCTTCCGGAGACTATGCATAGAACTTGGCGCACAGTTTACCTACTCGGAGATGGCCCTGAGTATGCCATTAATCCAAGGTAACAAAGGAGAGTGGGCATTGATGAGAGCACACGAGACGGAAATGCTACCTCCAACTGTATCTCCTGGGGTTGATGTAGTGCAGGAATATGATCACTCGAAAGATCTTAGATTTGGCGCCCAAATCGCGGCAAACAAGCATTGGCAAGCACTTAAGGCGACCGAGGTACTATCTGCATACACCCCAAACCTTCGTGTTATCGATTTGAACTGCGGCTGCCCCATTGACTTGCTCTACCGTGATGGAGCTGGGTCTGCCCTTCTCGAACACCCGTCAAAGCTCGAGAGGATCCTTCGCGGTATGAATGCAGTTTCACAAGAAATACCTATCACCGCCAAGATTCGCATGGGAACCAAAGATAATTCACCCAATGCTCTCAGGGTGGCAGAACGTTTAATTCTCGGGGGCTACGAGTCCAGTACCCTTGGGCTTGGCGCTCCTGGTGTAGCAGCCTTAACCCTGCATGGACGGAGCAGACAGCAGCGGTACACCAGACAAGCAGATTGGGAATATATCTCTGAGTGTGCTGCTCTTATCAAGAGACTGAATGAAAAAACGGATCAAGTCATAGATACCGTACGAGAGCCAGACCCACGGACACAGCCGAATGGAGGTAAGACATGGTTCCTGGGGAATGGAGACTGTTACTCGCACCAGGATTACGACGACCACGTCAACAATGCTGGTGTTGACACTGTGATGGTTGGTCGAGGTGCTCTGATCAAGCCTTGGTTATTTGAGGAGATTCAGGCAGGCCAGTACCTCGATAAGTCTGCGTCCGAGCGTTTATCGCTAGTTGAGAAGTTTGCCAAGTATGGTCTAGAGACATGGGGATCAGACGAGCATGGAGTTGGCACTACACGGCGCTTCCTACTCGAATGGCTGAGCTTCGCCTGCCGCTACATTCCTATTGGATTGCTTGAATATCTTCCACCACGTATTCAGGACCGACCACCGTCTTGGAGAGGCAGAAATGAGTTGGAGACTCTTATGGGCAGTCACAACTACAAAGACTGGATCAAGATCACGTAAGCGTCTTCTTTTTCTCCCTCCCTTCTTGAGACGCCCTGTGCTTCACATGGATATTAACCTGCTGCGTAGTGAAATGTTCCTCGGTCCAGCCCATAAGGACTTCAAGTTCGAGCCGAAACACAAGTCAAACGCTTGGGATGGGGAAGCAGAGGGATGAGCTATGATGGTACCATGTAAATACACATTTAGAAGTAACATATCTAGACAAAAAAGCACCTAGAGAATGAAACAGCCATATTGTATAGAAAGCACCACTGGCACGTGATTGCACATTCCGGAAGCGCCGAACTAGGCAGAAACGTGTCACGTGCTACACGTTTCAGCTCCGGGCGGTGATGACGTCTTCCCTGCCGAAGCTGAAAAAGGACCACCTCATCTTCATCGCCCTGGATACAAAAAAAGCCTCTGATCTCATTCCCCCGCCCAGGAAAATTACTCGTCTCCTCATTCCAAGGCTCTGCATTATATATTCAGAGCTTGTTGCAGCCATCCCTTGACTGCTTGGTACTGCCCTTGGCAATTCTTATCTTTTGTTTACCGCTTCAAGCTTCCCCCACAACCACACATTGATCGCAACCCCTGAACCTATTTCCATCCTCAATTGTCGAATCGGGGTATTAATTCCAGGCAAAATGACTCTCTACTACAGTCTTGTAAGTTTTATTTTGCAGACTGACACCGAATCCACCATGTCAACTTGCAGCATAGGGTGTAGCCTACAGTTCCGGCTGTGCCGAGGATACATCTCGAATTGCTTTGATTACACAGTTCCAAGCAGTACTAACTTCATCTGCGTAGGTTTTTTGCCTTCTCGTCTTCGAGATGGTGATCTTTATTGGACTCATCGTCCCTCTGCCTTTCACTATCAAGCGGAAGTTGTTCACCTTCATCTCTGAAAGTCCGATAGTAGCGAAACTACAATATGGAATGAAGGTAAGCCCCTAGTTGCCTAAGATAGGAACAAACTTCTTGTTAACGAATTTTTCAGATTACATTCATATTCATTTTGATTCTCTTCATTGACAGCGTGAACCGAGTGTACCGTGTCCAGCTGGAGGTGACCAATTTCTCTAAGGAGAACATGGGGTAAGTAACTTGCCGTACTTCAATGCATGTGTAGTGGTCTAGGTATATCTGACAATATCTCTTGTTAACAGAGCGGCCGCCCTTGGCACTGACCGCATGGAAGTCCAGGCCCGGAAGTTCTACTCTCAACGTAACATGTACCTTTGCGGCTTCACCCTCTTCTTGTCTCTCATCCTCAACCGCACCTACACCATGATCCTAGATGTCCTCCGCCTTGAAGACAAGGTCAAGACTCTTGAGGGTGACAAGAAGGCCGGCGGAAAGGACTCGGCCCGCCTTGCTGAAGCTGGAAACGCTGGCGAGATCGGACGTCTGAAGAAGGAGCTTGATGCTAAGAACCGTGACATTGAGACCCTGAAGAAGCAATGTGAGGGTCTTACCCGCGAATACCACAGCCTGGGTGACAAGGTTGCCGGTAAGAGCGACGATGGCGCCAAGAAGGATCTGTAAATCGAATCGCCAGGCCCAAAATGCAAAAGCATTCTTGTGTAGTCTCAAGCGAACGTATTGCATGAGATACGAAAGGATCTTGGAGCAGCTCTTATGCTATCGTGGAAATTAAGCGTCCTATTCACTACTCGCTTTCAAATATGATGATACAACTGAAAAGCTGCGCAGCAAAGCAAGCAGTCAATAATCTTGTGCAATGGCTTTATGGTTCCCTGCTTTCACAAATATGGTGGTGGTTTGTTGTGGAGATGTTCCGACGCGTGGTGACGAGGGAGGTCTATACGCACTGTGTGATATTTTATTCCCTAGTGATTGACATATCAAACAAAAACAATCAAGATATTCTCCAAGTACACATGACACCAATGTAGATGATTGTAAACCTCCCGCCTTCAATAACTCCAGCGAGTCCTGAAGTCTCGTATTACTCGACATCGTCAGGACTCTCAATTGCAAGATCAACTACTCCACACGTATATTCTGTGGACATGCAGCTAAGATATAGATCCTGTTTCTATTCTACTCCCACAGATCGTGTTGCCACCTATAAGCTGCTCTGAGTATTTAAAAACCAAAGACAGCATCGGATCAAGCCGGGACAATTGGCTTAACGATAAAAGGGGTTCACATGGGACATTTTATCGGGGTGATTGGAGCTGATACACGATGAGGCGTTAAATTTAACCTGTGGCGCCGTGGCTGGCGGATCGGGACGCATCCGAAATGGAGACTATAACATGTATCGCCATGTTTTTGCCCTCCCCATTTGACTAGTCCGCGCAAGTATTAGGAGGGTGGCGCAAGTATTAGGAGGGTGGCGCATGGCAAAAGGGGGGAATTCGATAGTAGGTAGCTTAAGCGGCGGTTGCCTAACCAAGCCCTAAAAATGGAAACATAAGTTGTTAAACTTGATAAGCGCTAGACTGGTATTTGTGGGGATTTTTTTTCTGTACAGTGCCTTCGATAGCACCTCTCAAACCAAGAACATATTCCATAGATAGAGTATCATGCATCTAGACCATAAGCTCCCTTGGAACACAGTCTCTTCACATTTCGGCTTCATCAAAGAAAACCAATACAAGAACCGCAAGAACGACTTCGTTATCCATGACCGTTTCATTGATCGCGAGTCTGCTGAGTTAAACCACTTTACAAAATCCCTTATCTCCGTGATTGAGGAGTTTGCAACTACTGAGCGAGCTAAGTACCCACCGTCTACGGCTCTGCCAACATCCGGGCCTCTTTTCGACACGGCTATTTTACCGGCCATCGAACAGAAATACCACCTCGAACCACACCGAACCAATTCGGCAGTCTCCAATCCCCTTTGTGAAGAATTCCAGAATGTCGACCATTGGATCCGCGAGGATCCATATAGCACCGCTGATGGGGACTTAGCTGATGCCGTGAAAATGCTCCTTATCACCAATGAAATGCTCGCTTTACTACGTCTAGCAAACCACAAGAAGATCCCGCTGGCGACCCTTGATTCTCTAAGCTGGGGCCACAGCTTCGGTGTCAACCATCTCCCGGACGTAGCTCTACAAGCCTACCTACTGCTGAACATCGCCGCTGCTGTGAAAACCAATGCCAAACGCGGGTCTGCAGATGACACTGTCCGTCTGACGGAGACGCAGCGGTTCAGGTACTTTGCTGGTTGGGCGCTGGCAGATCATGACTACCCTACGCAGAATATCCCGCACCGTCTGTTTTGGAATGCGAAGGGCATCACTGATGGCCATTGCTCATCGTGGGATCCGTTGAGCCTGGATACGGATGTGGAAAGGGCAGAGATGAAGGCGTATTTGAAGATGTGTTTTGAGTTGTTGTATCGGTATGACCTTTTGATGAGGGAGTTGGGTAGAGATCCAGGGTGGAGGGAGAGGATCTTGGGTATTCTGCGAATGTGGGGAGCCCGGTCTGTTACTATGGATGAATCGGGGTTCTGCTTTGCCTGACTGGGCTCGGTGATGGATCTCTGATCTAGAACAAGGTAGGGAGAGAGAAGACATGAGAGCTAAGCACTACATAGTATCATCCATAGTTGGAGTAGTGAGAATCTAGTTCTCTCATACTTAACGCGTTGGAGGATGTTATGGCCTTGAGGCCTCTTCAAGTAAGTAGCCAGGTGACGATGTACACCCTACTCGAGAGATGTCATATCGAATGGATGATTCGGGGGTACAAATGAGCAGCCAAGACTGCCAAGATACCACACTAGTTCGATGCTGCATGACGTGGCCAATTGAGTATATGCCATAGGTCAGTTGGCTGTGTTTATTCCCATATGTGACCCAGAGCGGAGAACACAGTAACTCTTGATAACCATAAACCTCCACGCATGCATTCTTCAGCTTCCAACACTGTTGAGAACGGTTTATAGTAGGTTTGGTAGTGCAGCTTGACACCAGCAGAGGTTGAGTACCTGCGGTTGTATGGGTCACTTAGAGAGGGATACGATGGAAATAATTGTCTAAACCGCAATCATAGATTGACCAGCAGCTGTAATGAAGTGAGTGGAGAAGCTATGGGGACTTTCAGGAGTACTACCTAAGTAGTATGTCCCATGGGCATTTCTTGACGTGTACATTGTGCTTTGACAAGATCGGTCAATAAGGAGGCGGCGGATTTGCCACCAGCTTCGAATGGTGTGCTTGATATTTGTGTATTGGTGGTTGAATTTCTTTTTTTAAAAACATGGAGTAGAGTCGGGATTTGTATAAAAGAGAGACATCGAGTATTCGTTCCCTAGACTTAAGCAGAGGCCGGTATCTACCAGGTGTTTGGTATAGAATTAAGTGAGAAATTTCCCTCCCCAAATACAAAACCAAACGGGTTCCAACAGTAGGACGCTGATGTTTGTAGATCTCACTACGGAGTACGAACCCGATGGCCCCTTATCTCAGCGCATACTTCCGTATTGCAAGTCTACTTACTTACTGTACATAGTAGGTTACATCAGCATTCCTCCCAACGTGCAGGCCATACGTATGCTCATCATACTATGAAGTAGACTTCTTGTTATATAGACAATCGATGGTTCTCGGTTTGCCTTATTTAAACTTCGTCTGGAACATTGCACATCGCCACTACTGGTAATTAATTTGGTGCTAAGTCGTAGTCAGTCTTCGGTGGTCCAGTGACGACGTCACCTTCGGCATCACCGCTTTTGTAGATCTCCGGGTCCAATCTTACAGTAATTTGCATACCAAATCAATATCTGACCAGTTTAACTCCGTAGTTCATATGAACAATTTGATAGAGCATGGCATAAAGGGATTCTTCGTCGTTTTAATTTCCGAGACTCTTTGCCCCCTCCCCCTCCTTCGCTCCGCTTTGATCTTAGTTCCAGGACAGAACTTAATCTATCGGGGGTTTTGTAATTTCTTTTGGCGACTGTGCTGGCATTCAAGGTTGACCGACCGCCTTTGCGTATTTGTGTTTCGCCCCTCCTTTTTCTCATTTTTTCCCTCACTGGCAGTTTCTTTTCCCACTGGCCGGAGATTGGAAGTGTTGTATCGGAGACACCGCCCACTCCCTCTAAAACGGTTTCCCCGTTGACCGTCTCTTTCTCGACGTATTTTTGTAATTAATTTTTCGGATTACATTATTGATTCAGAGATATATCAGGCAAAATTTAGTAAAGAGCGCAAGAGCTCCGAAGAAAAATACATAAAATATGGATGCATGAAAAAAGATGTGTAAAGTCAAAGGAATTCGATAATATTGTAGACTGCAGGAGTTCGCTGTAATCGTGCATCTCCTCCCCACTCTCTTCTTCTTCTTCTTCTCCTCCTCCCACCCCCCCTTTAACTAACAATTGATTCCTCCCTTGACACTAAGCGCTTTCTGTCTTCCGACCACGAATACTTTACTTCTCTCATCCCGCACCGCAACTCCTCCTACCTTCTACCCTTCACTCCCTCTCATACAGACCCTCGCATACCATCCACCATGGCCGCCCCTAGCTCGAAGTACGACAACTATGATTTTCCCACCACTGCGCCGGTTGCCAACACTGGCCACCCTGGCCACACCACCCCAGAGCAGGATGCAAAGGTAGAACAGCTTCGGAGTGAGCTGGAGCAGCTCGGTTACACCGAAAGGCTGGACACCTTGACTTTGCTCCGCTTTTTGAGGGCGAGAAAGTTCGACGTTGCCCTTGCTAAGACCATGTATGTCGGAGGCCTTCCTTACTACTTCTCATTTGTTTGACTAGTGTCCGCGGACACTGCGAAAGCCTAGAGATGAGAACTGTACAATCAGTGATCTCATACTTGGACTTGTTTCTTATCCTCCGTTGAACAATGCGAAATACAGCGCTGACATCTGCCCGTTCTCCTCATTAGGTTCGTCGACTGCGAAAAGTGGCGGAAAGAGTTCGGCACTGATGACCTGCCTCGCACTTTCGACTACAAGGAGAAACCGGAGGTGTTCAAATTCTATCCTCAGTACTACCACAAGACGGACAAGGTATATCCACCGTGCATGTGTTCTTCTGAGTCGACTTCGATGCTAATAGTGAATATAATGGAAATAGGACGGAAGACCTGTCTACATCGAGAAGCTGGGCAAGATCGATCTTACCGCCATGTACAAAATTACCACCGCCGAGCGCATGTTGCAGAACCTTGTCACTGAGTACGAGAAGCTTGCCGACCCCCGACTGCCCGCCTGCTCTCGGAAGGCAGGCAAGCTACTGGAGACTTGCTGCACCATTATGGACTTGAAGGGCGTCGGTATCACAAGCATCCCATCCGTATATGGATATGTTCGTCAGGCCTCTGCCATCTCGCAGAACTACTACCCCGAGCGTTTGGGCAAGCTCTACTTGATCAACGCCCCTTGGGGTTTCAGCGGTGCTTTCAACGCTGTTAAGGGCTTCCTTGACCCCGTGACTGTCGAAAAGATTCACATCCTTGGTTCTAACTATAAGAAGGAACTGTTGGAGCAAGTCCCTGCTGAGAACCTCCCCGTGGATATCGGTGGTACTTGCCAGTGCGAAGGCGGCTGTGAGCTGAGTGACCAGGGCCCCTGGCAAGATCCACAGTGGGCCAAGGCGCCCAAGTGGGCTACTCCCAAGGAGGACGAAAACATCGTGAAGAATGAGGATCCTGGCCTCGAGCAGAAGGTTGAAACGCAAGAAGCTTCTCAGCCCACTGCATAGAAACCCGATCTCCTTTTTTTTTTTTTTTCTTTTTTCCGCCCCTTTTGTCTTGGATCCACATGGGTAAAGCTGCAGTGCTGTGTTATTCCTACATATTCCTTCCTCAAGATGTCTCCCGGGAATAGTTTACGTCAACCGTGCTTTTCTATCTCCCTATGGCCGTCTTTGATTCATCCGAATTCAACTGTTAGCTGTCTACTACCTGAGAAACGGCTGCCGGCTTTCCCATCTTGTCTTCGTTTTCCCTTTGGCTTGACATTAGATATTAAACAACGCAACATGAGCGGCGTGAGGTGCTTTTATAGATGGTGCTGAGAAGAGTAAATATTGGGACAGAATATAAAAGTGATTGTCTGATTAGGGATTCGGGGTTTGAGTTCAATGTACGACTTGGTGCGTATTGATTACGAAAAGGGCCAGTTGTAATATGGTAGGTCTGCTTGAACTCCTACCACAAGGCATTGCCTGAATAGCCGATATCAATCATTATTCCCAATAGCAGATTATCAATCACGGTAGAGTATTTAATGGTATCATTCCATGCCGAGCGCCGAACACCAACAGAATTGAATCGCAAAGAAAAAATGACAGAATAGACCTATAGGCGGTCACTTCTTCTCCACGACTTCAACTGCCCGACTGGCTCGTTCAGCCTTCCCGACTGTCGATGCTACCGCATTTCCATCGGCGGCCCCATCTGCTGTGACGTTTGTCTCATCGCCAGGAATAGCCTCGCCCTGAAGTCGAAGTAAAGTCCGCAATGTATCCTCATATACTTCTGCCATCTCCCCTGTGCGCCATAGTTCTGCTTCATGGTCGGTGCCAAGGGGTACATGTAAATCCCACTTTGTTTTCGCTGACCTCCGGCGTGAGCCATTTGTACTGGGCCCATTGTTGGCAGTCTGTTTCTGGTTCTGGTCTGCATCAGGCATGTCGACGTCTTCCGTTGGTTGCCTTTCACTGTCCTCCCCACTTTCCAGAAGTATCTCATCTTCCAGGTCATCATGTTCGTCCTCCTCTATCACCTTCTTCAACTCCGCTGCATACGTCTCCGCCGCACGTCGCGGCGCATCCCGCCTTAACTGTGCGACTGTCGTTGTAAGCGATTCCAATTGCGCGTAGAGCGAAGTCACACGTGATGCAAGATGCCCGTCATATGGTTCGTACTCGACTGTCTCTGCAGGCGCAGTGAAAGCAGCCGGAAAAGGAAATTGAGGCGATGAAGAGTCAAGACCGTTGATACTTATTGAGGAGGAAGCCGATGTGAAGGTACGCAATATGTACTGTTTCGCATGTCCATCAGTATTAGGGGTTTCAGTCGATAGATCGGGTTGAGAGTAGGCTATGTACCTCGTCGACTAACTCGCGGACCCGCTCGCGCATTGGATCCGGTCCATCTTCAGGGTTTGCAGAGGGGGGTAAATGAAGGTCGAGCTTTTGGCGCGAAAGGGCGACAGTGTTACCGTAGAGATATGTGAAATCGGCGGGGGCTTGGAGCTCAATTTTGCGATGCATTGATTCCCCCATTTTGTCCGGTGGTCCAGCTAACCAATGCGTGAAAGATGTTGGGTGTTGTAAGATGTGTGGATCTAGCCTCTCTCCGTTGAATATTTCTTGTCCTCGGGGGGTTCCGCATGTATGAACGCGTCGGGCGCGGGTATTTACTATCCAAAGTAGTGGGACGGAGGAGGAAGACCTGGATGTGGTTAGCCTCAGGCACCGATAAATGGTCGGCGTCGATCCGATGAGCACGCGCCCCGCAAACGATGTCATCGATTTACTTTTCTTTTCAGCTGCCTTCAGCTGAAGGCCTTGCTTTTCGTCCGATGCCAAGTTTCTTCACTTTTAGGTCGATATACGACCCGACCAGGGTAATAGTTTTTAGTCATATTCCTTACTCCTTCTTATACTTATGTTTGCCTAATTCCTAATTCTTAATTCCCGTAATTGTCTCGCTTCCCTCCTTTATCTCTTATCGCATTATCTATTCCCCCCTTTATAGCGCCCTGGCACCAGCCACTGACGGGCTCAGTTCTCGGACTTGCGATGATGGTCGGGGTGTAATATTAGTGCTATTGCAGGATTTGTGCTTGGCTCTTGTTATTGGTCAATCCATAAACCACCATGGAGAGCCGCCCCAGCTTGAACCTGATCGACAACACATCCCCGAACCGTCGACTCTCCGACGATGAGGGCCTTTCGGAGATCACCACAGCTGATGACCTGTCAAGAAACACATCCAGGAGATGGAAGAAACCCTCAGTGCGGCGCGAGCTGACCAAGCGCAAATATAAAAAATGGCAGCCAAAGAAGCTAGGAATCACAGACGACGACGCAGACAGACGCCCTTCGGACGCCAGACTATCTCTAACAGCCACATACACTAACACTGAGGGCGAAAGCCTTGCCGATATTTCGACTTTGCCAACTAACGAACAGCGTGATTTCGGGGCCGCAGACCAAGAAAATGGCGGCCCTGGATCAGTGACCGGCCATGGTGTCAGTGGCCTCAAACCGGGTACCGAGCTAGACATTCTTTACGAGAACCAGCGGGGCTGGTTCTTCTTTGGCATCCCTCTTTATTCTCACGGTTCTCTTCTCAACTTCGATCCAGCTGCCTGGGTCACCTACGACTTTCGAGATAGTCCGGTCAATATCACAAATGCGCAGGTGCCGGATCCGAGCTGGGAGTGGGCGTGGAAGACATGGTTCGTGGATATGTCTGGCGATGTGGATGATCAAGGCTGGCAGTATTCTTTCTCTTTTAGCTCGTCAGCCTGGCATGGATCCCACCCTTGGTTTCATTCGTTTGTTCGCCGGAGGCGATGGGTCAGATTACGGGTTAAGAAAGCCTCGGAAAGAAGCCGTCGCGGCCGATCAGGCTTTGAGATGGCTCATATGCTCAACGAAGACTACTTTACTATCCATACCGCCAAGAAGAAGAGAGCAGCAAGTGCAGGCCGGGGCTCCCAAGGGCCATCCACCCATTTGAGTCGAGCGACGACCACTGTGGACGAGGAAGGTCCTCTAGAAGAGATCGGAAATATTCCAACACTCATGAGTGCCCTGAGAAATGCAAAGATAGACCGTGAGAAGTTCGATATCCTCAGAAGGTTTGTGGCGGAGGGAGGTCAAGAGTTATACTACTTAGATGGAAAGGTAAGCACACATTAACTCATACATTCATTACGCTGTTGCTAAAGACCTACAGATGCAAGATATAATGGCACTGTTTGTCTTCCAAGCCTCGCGCTGGCAACTAGTGACCCACTTGACTGGCATCATCGAGGAGCTGTCTGGGAAGGAGCCCGAGTCTAGTGGTATGGATGCAGAGGAAACCCGACGGCAAAAAGACTACCTCACCAAAGCTGTAACCACAGCAAAGCGTTACCTCACTGGGCCTGAGATCCTCGCTTCTGAAGGACGAGTTCCTGCTCGGGAAATGTCAGAGATGTTGGATTTGACTCCGGAAGCGAAGAGGGAAAGTCTGTTGTCTAGGTCCTCAGGGAAATTCTCACACAAGCCAATAGACAACGGTGGAGAGATTAAAGGTATACCTCAGGGGGCAGAGATTGGTCGCGAAGGGCACATTTATCAGTATACATCTTGATTTTTTGTATTATACCCGGTTTGGCTGGTCCAGCGTACAGCGGGGGTCAGGTGTACGTCTTTGGGGCATCCCACTCCGTACGACCTGCCTAAATATCCATTAGCTTTTCTTATCAACAATAGCTATTTTTGACATTTTTCGTCTCTCTCGTATTCAAATAGTAAAAATTGCGGACACTAGGTATACATGTTGTTTACGGCGAGTATCGGTCCGATTCCTGGAGAGCACTGACCGCCTGCCATTCCGACGAGGCAAACATTTTCTAGAATCTCCGCGCCGGAGAGCTTTGCCCGCAGCTTGAAAAAACGACGTCTTTAGACAGGAGCAAATCCAAACTCCCCCGCGACTCTTCGCCCTTTCCATGACTCAGGCACTTGCTCCGTATACTCCTCGATGTTATCGCGTGGCCGCCCGTGTCTGAAAAGACGTGTATTGTCCACCGTCTTAGACAGTGTTGCGGCTGGCCCCGACGAACCTCTCCTGTTCCTCTACCCCCGTTGGTTTACAGCTGCAGTCCGCCAACGGAGGTCAATCTCATCAATTAAGTGCACTTCTAAATGTACAGCGAGACTATGCAACGCAGGCGGGTTCGTTCCGGGGACGCGCCGGAGGTTGTCACTCGGAGGGTCTACGAAACGGTGGGCGTCGAGTAGCAATGCAGCCAAAACCGATGTGATTGAGGAGGCTGGAAGCTCGCAGCAGAACGATCAAGCTACTGCTACACCAGATGGTGGACAAGATGGGTGGACAGGGGGTGAAGTAAACCGCGACGGTGTGAGTCCGCCGAAAAACGCCACGAGTTCAAAGCCTTCATTGCCCGATTCGACAGAAAAGAGCAAGTTGCACGAAGACAGACGAAAACGCTTGTTCAATATATTTGCCGATATCGACTCGAAACCTCCCCGTCCAACACCACCGCCTCCTCCGAAATCCAATGCCCTGAGAGCAAGAGACCTGAAAACACATGCGCGGCCATTGGCAGCCCCTCCCAAGATGCATTCTCATGAGAGAGCACGTGCTACCATGAAATCGCTATCTGTTAGGGATAGGCGGAAGTTAAGGTGTCGGTTGTTTTTCACTAAGCGGATGAACCCCGAAGCGAAATGGAGGTGGACCCTTTGGACTAAGCTGGAGGAGTTGTTCGAGCGAATGGAGCAAAATAATACGGTGTGGAGGAAGAGAGGCATAAAACACAAGGAGATGCTATTGCCGGAGGAGACTGTTGCTCTCCTTGCGGGTGCTACGGACATGGCTATGAAGGAAAATGTTTGGTATGTCCCTATGCACAATGGATGTAAGGTCCATGTGCTACATCCACGGGAGAGCGAAGGCCAATACAGGAAGGTTGTATTGTCTGGTTCCGAGCGAGTGGTGGAGCTGGTCGGGGATCGTATTGCGCATGCGAAGAGCCTTCAAGAGATGGGTGATCCTTTGATCGATA